ATCATGCATGCAAAGATAGGCAGTTCCCATTCAGGTGAAGCAATGTGTAGAAAATATCTTACTTGAGCTGTAAGACTATCTCTAGGGCTGTCATAACTGCAGAGGATTAATACCAATACATAATAGACATTTAAAGTCCCATTAGCAAGATCATCTGTTATTTCAGATGGACGCATCAAACTAATCATAGGCTGTTGCCATTCAATATTCGATTATTGATTCTCCTTGTTATGATTTTATGCTCATCTAGTGATCTAATTTCTAGTTATAGCTCAAATATTTGTTGAATATTTGTTACAATATACTTATTTACACATTTGACATGTATTATCTCATTTTATCCTTACAAGAACCCTGTGAGATAGATATCCTTATCTCCTTTGTACATAGAAGCATAAAGTAATATGCCTGGCGTCTGCCTTCAGATTGTCTTTTGTCTAGAGCTGTGATCGGGAAACTGTGGCTCACAAGCCACATGCAGCTCTTTGGCCCCTTGAGTGTGGCTCTTCCAAAAAATATCATTGCCTGGGCGAGTCTGTTTTGAAGAAGGGGCATTAGAAGAAGTTTAAGTTTTAAAAATTTGGCTCTCAAAAGAAATTTCAGTCGTCGTACTGTTGATATTTGGCTCTGTTGACTAATGAGTTTGCCGACCACAAGTCTAGAGCATTATGCTGTCCTACCTTGGCCTCTGCATTACAGGGAGAGTATCTTCATCGCATATTTTTTTTATTGTGTTTTGTCCCATGGCTGATTTCCTAACAGTGAATAGTAAAGTGAATTCTGATTATGATTTGGCAGAGGGCCAAATCCTATACCACCCATCAGAGGTTCTCTCTGGTAAGGATTTTGTGGCCAGCGACTAGCCTCATTTTGGCCAGAATTTCCTACTTCTCTTTGACTATCTTGATGGAGAGCTTTGCAAAGTTAGTCCTGTTGTTGATCTCCTGGAGATTCTGATTTGTTTTGGGATGGGCCCATTAATCTGTTCTTTAAAAAATCTCATTGGTGATTGTGGTGCCCATCTCAATTTGGGAACCACCATTTTAGGTGACACATGACACTATTGATTTGTGCAACAGCTTAGTTCAAATCTAAGAAATGGTAAAAGGAAAGATTTCAGTTTGTAAGCTTTACTCAGAAGTTTTATGATGTTTGTGTTGGGCTAAATATAAAGATCAGCTAAAAATAACAAATCTGGATGCCAGGGATCAAGTGTTATTGGCTTTATTATGCCTAGAATAGTAGTTGGATTTTAAGCCTGGAGATGCACAAGCCTGGGAGTGGATGCTGTCTCTGTTACACAGCTGGGCAGCTTGAGCAGCCATGGCAGCCTACTCAGGCTCTCCAGTACTGTGCTTCTCATTTGCCAAAGGGGGGTGGACAGTCCTTACTTTCATCTATACAAAGCCCTGAGCCCAGACCTGATACTAGGTTCGTGCTCAGGAAATGTTAGCACTTGTTGCTATTTAAGTGGTTTTTCAACTGGGAATATCATTGGTGAGCCTAACTCCTGTTCTGACCCAGGTGTTTCTTGTGGCCACAGCATCTTTCTGTAGATGGCTGGCGAGAATGAAGATTGTAATTAGTCTCCATAGAGTCTTCACCCAGACCTGGACCTTTTTATCTTGGACCTGTTGAGTTAACTAGTATATATAGCAGTTGAGCAATTAAAGAGCTTGGTATTAAATCTTTTAAGATATTTTAAAAATGTTTTATAGCTGGTATAAACCAAATTAAAGGCTAAGAATCAAAGGGTAGATTTGCAGTGATGATTTTGTAAACATCTTAGGGAAAGCAAATCTTTACTGAACTTTTGCCTTGGATTTTCTCAGGTTCTACTTTGTATAAGGTTGGGCTTTATTACAGCTTTTAAAATCATGTGGGAGATGTATTTACTACAAGAGTTGGTTTTTTTTGTTTTTGTTTTTGTGTCTTACTGTTGTTTTTTGTTTTTTGTTTTTTAAAGCTGTTTTATTGATTTTTAGAGGGAGGGAGACGGAGATCGAGTTCAGGCCTGGGAGAGATTTCATTTCTATATAACATTTTTTTTTCCTTTTGTAAAATTAAAATCTTTACAATTTGATGTAAAATTTGTGATTTCATGTCAGAAAACCTGGATTCAAATCTCTGCCATTCGTCAGAGTAGACAGGTTATTTGCCTGTAGGAAACTCTTCGTCATCTGCAAAATTAGAATAACATAAGGTTATTGCAAACGTTGATGTGAAATATAAATTGACCTCCAGATGGAGCTTTTTATCTTCCTCTAGAACAGCATTGTTCAGTAGAAAGAAAAGTGAGCTACCTGTGTAATTCAAATTGTTCTAGTAGCCACATTTTAATTTGGAACAAATAAAATTTAAATACTTAATCCAATATGTCTAAAATATTATTTCAACATGTAATTAATATAAAAATTGAGATTTTTTTTCATGCTAATCCTTGGAGATCTGCTGTATTTTACATGTAAAACACCTCTCAGGTTGAACTAGCAACATTTTATGTGCTCAGTAACTACACATGGCTAGTGCTGCCATTTTGGACAGTCCAGATCAGGAATATAGGTTAGTATTTTCCATCAGCATCCTGGGGCACTGGTGTTGTCTCAGCCTTAAGCAATTAACACAGTCTTATTCTTAAAACTTTGTGTACCTCTGGATGGATGAGCTCTCCATTTCTTTCTTCAGCAACCTGGGCTAGTATTTTGTCCTTGGGAGGACAGGCTCCTACCCTCAGCCTTTTGGCTGATTCAGCATAGTGCTTGCTCTGAGCATATCACGTGCCTCTCTATTTGGCCAAGGCTGATAGACAACCAGGAATTCCTGAATCCTTGAGTGTGATAAACCTTTTGAATCACCAAGATTAGACTTTGCAATACCCTTTCATTCTTACTCCCCTCCCCCCCCCCCCCCCCCCCCCCCCCCCCCCCCCCCTCCCTTTCCCAAATTTCAGAGACTTGTCTATTGTCCCTGGGAAAAGAGCAAATACTAGGAATCTTCTAGGAATTCTGCTTTTCAATCCTCCACTACAGTGTAGCTTAACAAGGCAGCCCTCCTTTCCCAAACATTATTTTGACTTTTTAAAAGACTTTTAGAACCTTTTTGCGACTAAGTGATTTGTGGGGTTTTTAAAAATATTTTTTATATATTTCAGAGAGAAAGGGAGAGGGAGAAGAGGGATAGAAACATCAATGATTAAAGAGAATCATTGATCGGGTGCCTCCTGCATGCCTTCTACTGGGGATTGAGCCTGCAACCCAGGCACATACCCTGATAGGGAATTGAACCCTGACCTCCTGGTTCATAGGTCCACATTTAGTCACTGAGCCATGCCAGCTGGACTGGGACCAAGAGATTTAGAGGAAGGCGGCTATATTCTTATCTAAATATATATATATATTTAATGTTTTCTAATACTGTTTTATCCAAATTTTGAGAGATCTATGTTGAAGGGTGTTCCCTAATAGCTGTATGTAATGGTGTAAAAAGATAGGTAATATGGGATTCAAGTATATTTAACAAAAAAAAATATGCTCAGATGTCACCTTAGAAAGTCCTGCCTTGATCACTCTGTCTAAAATAGTTTCCAGCCCCCAGTTCTTTTAGCATTTTTTTTTTGTTTTTTAGTCTCACTTATTACTAAATTGTCTTCTCAAATAGAATATAAGCTCCATAAGGGTATGAATTTTGTTTACTCCTGCACCCCAGCTCCTAGAACAAAGTCTGGTCCTCCATAAATGTTCCTTGGATCAATGAAAAGAAGTGCCAAGATATTCTCTATATGTATTAATGATTTTAAAGTTAGATATCCAGTAGAATTCTTCCCTGACCATTGTTGCTCTAACTGTATATGAAATTTGCTTGAACTTTTCAAACCTAATCTCAGTGGTAAGAATCCTTTAGTTTACTCTTGTTCAGTCATTTAAGCTTTTACTTCTTTTAGACAGTGTGGGGCATGAGCAGTGGAAAAGGAATATTTATAATGGAGTTGTAAAGTAAGGGTTGGGGAAATCTTTACTTTCAGAATACAGAAAATAATCTGTATTTTCAGATTATTATAAAGGATAGTGAAATAGAGGTGGCGGTATTAGGATAAGGAAGTGCGTGAAAATTTTGAATAGTTTGTCTAAGGTTTTGGGGCAAGATAGTTGGCACAGTAGGTAATAGAAGCTTAGGGAAAGATGAGAGAGATTAATACTTTTTGGAGGAAATGTAAGCTATATATAGGTTTGTGGTAAAAAAAAAAAAAAATCCACAAGTCATTTTTCTATTGTCTTAGTTTAGAATCTTTATTTAAAAAATCTTAATTTCCCTGTCAGTTTTGCAGTCATTCTTTCTCTCTGCCTCTCATGCCTTTGTGCTCCATGGATCATGGGACCTGTGCAAACAGACTCTCAGGCTCCACCAGGGCCAGAAGTTCTCTTGTAATCCCTGTTTTGGTCCAGGAGCACCCTGCCAATGAAAAGTAATCCAAACATGTTGAAAACTCACAACTTCTTTTAAGAAATATTTATTTTGCATTCAAAAGAAGTAAATGCAATTAAGGTAAAAGCCTCGTTTTGGTCCTACTTCTTTTTTTTTTTTAATATATATTTTATTGATTTTTTACAGAGAGGAAGAGAGAGGGATAGTTAGATGATTCTCTTTCATCGATGTTTCTATCAGCTGCCTCTTGCACACCCCCTACTGGGATGTGCACGCAACCAAGGTACATGCCCTTGACAGGAATCGAACCTGGGACCCTTCAGTCCACAGGCAGACGCTCTATCCACTGAGCCAAACCAGTTTCGGCTGGTCCCACTTCTTTAAGAAAAACAATAAAATGGTATATACTTTTTATATTGTGACAGCAGGCTTTATTTCAGTTGGGTTTTTTCCAGTATTACAATTTTAAAGTTTTATAAAGTTTGATTAAAGAATAATACTCTACCTATAGTAGATAATTTTTAAGGACTGTTCAGTTTAAATGATGCATTTTAACCTAATACCTTCTTTCTTCTTAGTCTGTAAGACTTGTATTGTTCAGCACTTTGAAGATAGCAATGATTGTCCCAGGTGTGGCAACCAGGTTCATGAGACAAATCCATTAGAAATGTTGAGGTAAGTAAATACATATACACTTAATAACTTTTATTATGTGTTGTAATATTTTTGTTGGCACCTTGATTCAATACATACAGATTTTAAGAAGAAAAGGATAAAATATGACTGTACATATTAAATATTTAAGGAGTACATTTCCAAATTAAAATTATAACTATTTCAGGCTCTCAGAGTTACTTTCGTTATAGTTTTGCTTCAGTATTTTAATATTCTACACAATACACCACTTTTGTTAAACTACATGGCAGTAGAAAGAGAGCAGACCTAATAGTGAGGAAGACTAATCTTGGTTCTATTAAATTTTTAAACTCAGAATTTTAAAAATGACTGCCATTTTTTTTAAGTATAATCACATGTTTTTAAAGCTGGAAATGGTCTGTAAGATCCTAATCCAAACCCTTTTTCCAGTTTAGAAAATTGAAATTTACTATGACTTTGCCTAAAGTCTCAGCAAACTCAAATGTCATTTCCCAGCTTCAAGCCAGCTGTCCCTACCACTAAACTTATTTTTCCCCCACTGATCCTACCATAGCTCTATCACAGGTAATTGTGGGATCTTAGGAAAGTACACATCTAAAAACAGTGCTAGATATTCATAGCCTTATGTAATGTTCATTTCTGTGTGATGTTTGCCATCATTCCATTGAATCTGAATTTGCAAGTCTTAAATTTCAGACTTGTTTTTTCTATTTCAGTGGCATGTAGTTGGAGTAACTTATCTACAGGTAAATGTCTAGCCCAGTGGTTTTCAAAGTATGGTCCCCAAACTAAGAGTCTCTTGTTAGAAATGACAGTTCTGAGACCCTACCTCTGACTTGCTAAAAGTAAATATTAGAAGAAACTGGTTGTGTTTGAAGTGGTTGCCTCTGGGGTTGTAGGAATCAGGATGAGAATGTTCTATTTTACTATAAGATTTACAGGAAAGTTTTACTTGTATATTCCACATTTATATAACTTTGATAAAAATATTAAATTGAGAAATGCTACTTTTTAAATATTACTACTAAATGGTCAGGGGAACTTTGTGAACAAGTTAATATTTGAGTTAAGTCTTGAATAAGGTAACATTGGTTTGGTTGGAGGGTAGAAAAAGAGTAATTGAGCCAGGATAAAGAACAATATATATTTGATTTTTTTTGCAGAGAAGAAGGGAGAGAGAGAGAAACATTGACAAGCTGCCTCCCGCACACCCCCCACTGGGGTTGTGCCTGCAACCAAGGTACGTGCCCTTGACCGGAATTGAACCCAGGACCTTTCAGTCATCAGGCCAATGTTCTATCCGCTGAGCCAAATCGGTTTCAGCCAGACAAGACACCATTATGGAAAACTGAATAGGCCTGTTGGATAGGGAAGAGAGACAAGAGAATAACACTAGTTATGGTTTGTAGGTTAGACTCAAGTTATAAAATCAATTGAAGCCAGGTGGTGGGAAGAAATTGGTGCTTGAGTAAAGCAAATGGTGAATCTTCCTTAAGCATTAATTTGATCATTATGAGCATGTCAAGTTAGAGGACAGAATACACCTATGTTCCTTTAAGTACTGTAGTAATTAAGGAAGTAGAAGGGTGGGGAGCATGAAGACCATATTGGGAAAATATCAAGAAGGAACTGTGAAAGCACAGTGGCTTAAACGTGTGAATCAAGGGGTGGGGAGAGGTATGTGCACGTATTAAGATAATTCTTGCATTTTGAGTCTTTGATCTCATTTTTAAATTTAATTTTTGAAAAGTATGATGGTGGTATTCATTGTTTTGTTGGAGGATGGATGAGACAGTGTTGACAGATTAACAAAAGGAGGTGCTTGAGATATTAAGCATCTGTTGGAAATGTGGCGCTTAAGCTCAGCAGAGATGTAGTTTGTGTGTGTGTGTGTGTATGTATGTAAAAGCTATTTGCTTATATGAAGTCACAAAATCCTACTGATAAGGTCAAGAGAGCAGAGCATTGGAAAAGAAAAATACTTAGGGACCAAGAGAGAGTAGGCAGGGGAAAAAAAGAAAACTCAATTGTTCTTTCTTGAAAGGAGCAATTTTAGACAATCCTATCAAACTGTTGCAGAGCAATATAGGATAAAAATGACTTTAAAAATAATTTTAAACCTATTTAGTTGGCAGTTATGGATAATTTGGGGAAACATTATCAAAACACAGAATATGTGAAAAATGTAGATTTTTTTTTTCTTTCAAAGTTTTTCCAATTAAAAAACAGCCAACAGCTTGAAATACAGGTTAGATTTTTGAACAGGTTGGATTTTTTAAGATGCAAGGAAAGTATTAATGTTCGTAGTTAGAGAAGAGTAATGCTACTGAGCAGGATGAAGGTATGAAGAGAGAAAAGGGTGTTCTGGGAGAAAGAGAATGAAAGAAAAGAAAAAGGAAGGGTTACACTCTCATCAGGAAAAAACTAAAGTAATATCAAGATAAATATTTACATTTTTTATCTAGAAAGATAGAATGACTAAATGGTCTGACTAAATGGTCTAAATTTTTCAGAAGAATGGTGATTATTTCCTTTATAGGAAAGAGCCAGAGTTGTTGTAGAGATTTTGAGCGTGAATTTATCGACTGTTGTAAAACCAACCACCCTTAAAATAAATAAATAAATAAAAATTTCTTATTCCTTACAGTTCTGCAGTTCACAGATCTAGGTGGTTCTTCTGTTCTTGGCTGGGCTCACTCATGGTACTGCTGTTGACTGGATAGATAGAACCAGCTGAGAGCAGCCTCTCAGATTGGGGACAGGCTGTCAGTGACCTGGTCTGAGATGGCCTCAGCAGGGTTCTCTTACGCATGGTGCCTCATTCTCCAGACTTGTTCTCATGGTTGGCAGAATTCTGAAAGAGGGCCTGCAAAAGCATGCAGTGCCTCTTTAGGCTTGGGGTCAGGACTATGCACAATATTTCAAGCATATTTCAAGGCCAGCCCTTATTCTTGGGGTGGGGAGATTGAATTCCTCCCTTGGCTAAGGGATGGAGTCATGTTCAGTGGTTCCCATAATGGGACACATGTCCCACAGGGGGACAATTCAAGAATGAGTTATTAACAGTGAATTTTTTGCATTTTTTACATTATAGGGGCCTCATATACAGTATATAAATATATATTGTGACATTTATGCATTTCATATAACTTCATATTTTTTAAACAATTTCTTAGCGATTTATTCCTCAGTATTTCAACTGGCCTGTCATTCTTTTATTTTTCTCCTTTATGGATGCCATGTCCTTTGGAAGCTTGTTTAGACCAAGTTAGTGGCCTACTTCCTCCATGTGAAATATGTCATCAGGATTTTAGAGATGCTTGGGTGGGGCATGGCCAACAAAGGCTGAGAACCACTGGTGTATATGTAGAGAGAGCTGGGGACTAGGACTGTTTTGTTATCAACCTACCACTGTGGGAAAGGCTAGAAATGGGTGTGTGTGCTCCGAATGCAGAGGAGTTTGGTGTAGATGTGCTGAAACTGAGCATGTACTGCATTTGCAGTACATTTAAGATAGAGATCCCCAGCTGCCTATATATTGGATTTTGATATCTTGTTACTTTGTTCTCTTTTCCCCTTTGGAAGGTTGGATAATACGTTAGAGGAAATCATATTTAAACTGGTCCCTGGACTACGAGAACGTAAGTTACTCTTTGGCTTCTTGTAGAATTCTGTGTTGTATGAAATCAACATTTCTATTACATATTTCATGACTGTTTCTATTATTTTTATACTTTTTTTCTTTCAATTTAGAAGAACTTGAGCGTGAATCTGAATTTTGGAAGAAAAATAAGCCTCAAGAAAATGGACAAGGTGACTTTCTTACACTTGTATCTGACAGCTTCTCACAAATTAGCTTTTAATAGCTTTGGTCAACTAATCTCTCTCTTCAAGCTAACGTGTCTCCTATACAGAATTCATGTACTCTTTTACTTATATTATGAACCTTTCATATAAAATCATGAGTTCATTCCAGTTAAAGGTAATAGGAAATTGGATTTTGGGAAGAGAAAAAGGAGCTAAAATAGAAGAGTACTAATTGCATTATTTGTTAGAGAGCTAAAGGAAACTGAAAGAGCTATAGTATACAACTAGACAGTGAGGGATTTTGTTTCAGTTTGTACATTTGAATAGGAAAGGGAACTGAGATGTGGCTGACAGCATAGCAGGGGGATCTTGGAATGAAGTTTTCATGGGTGGAGCTCAGGTGATGAAAATTTTTATATAACTGGAAGATATTTTTATATATCTAGAAAATGCAAATGCTTTTGAGAGTTTTCCCTATCACCAATGCTAAGTGTCCAAATTTCTCTTCTGGGTGCCTGGAGACTCAGCAATCAGTAAATGTTTAATAATTTTAGCAAAATAATAAACATTACCAAGCAGAGAAAAGGCTTTTGGTAAGTATATAATTCACACAAAGAAAATAAAAAGTATAACATGCCTAAAATTATAAGAAAGTATCCTTATATAAGATTATTTAATATAAGATTGATTTCAAGATGACCTTACACCACTGAAATCTTTAAATATGTACATGTGTTTTTATAGGCTCATTGTGTGAGATTAATTTCCCATCTCTGGCTTTTCCATAAGATCACAGGATTGTCAATTGCTCATAATAATTAAGATGGGTCAGAAAATTCTCTTTCTTTTTCATCTATAAAATTGGGATCTTAGTTTCTTTAACTTAACTTCCTGTAGTAGGGGAGGTTTGAGCATAGTTTTGAATGACAGAGAATATAGCAAGGGATTATTTCTGCTCTATAACAACAACAAAAATGACTTAACTAAAATGACTTAACTAAAGGCTTGTTTTACCCAAGTGTAAAGTACAATTGAGATAGTAGTTCTAAAGTAAAAACATAGGTGATATAAAGTGGACTAAATGTTCCCAAGTTTTGATTACCTTTTCAAGAGGAGTGGTTCCAGAGGATCGTCATCAGAAGCTATCTGTTAGATTTAGTTCATGGCACTATGTATCTTATAGGTTGACTTGTAAAGGACTATAATCTATTTTGTGTTTTTCTCCCTCTCTAAAGTATTTTGTCTTTAGTTTAGATGGAGAGTTTGTATTTTTTCTTGGAGCTAGGAGTTAGGTTCTTAAAAGGTGACACTATCTATAACCTGTCTCTTTTTCTGGCGCTTTTCCATACTGTGATGCTTGGTTGGCTAATTCTTTCCATTAGAAATTTTCCCTGAATCTCTACTTCACCCCACAGTTTATGTTTATTTTATTTTTTTTAATGTTGCTGCGTAGTCTTTTACCTCTTCCATCAAAGGTCTTATCCGACTTCTGTTTTCTCTACCTGTTTCTCCTGTACCGTGACCACTGTGAGGATGCGGATGATGATTCTAGTTTCAATATTGTTTCCTCAAGCCTAGCACAATGCATATCTAACAGTTACAGGCACACAGTAAAACTATGTGTAGGCTGTAGGTATTTCATAGGTTAAAAACATTTGGATATAATATGAAGTATATTATTCAGATTTCCTTAATGGAGTTTTAACATTTTATAGCTATAAACATGTTTAAAAAGAATTCATTTTATTCATTATTTTTAACTAGTTAATTTTATGAATATCTAATAAATTTGAAATTTTTGAGAACTTAGAAAGAAAAAGTACTGTTTTAAATTAGAATATATATAGAATTTGAAAGTATTTTTATATCCTCTCTACATTCTAAGTGATCTAATCACCAACTGCAATTATTTTTGTGACAAAATGTAGCTAGTCCCGAATCTTGCATTTGGATGCCCCAGTGAGCCTAGACATCTTAGGCTATATCAGTAAGTCATTGATGGTTTTTTAAAAATATTTTCATTATTTAGTTGATTCATTTAAAAAGTATTGAAACTTTCAGTTATTCTTCAAAGTTGATTTTTGCTTTGATAATTATTGTTGCTTAACTTCAGTATCAACTTTGGGTTATATCTGAGTTTTGTTCAAATTGTACAGATGATACTTCAAAAGTTGACAAACCTAAAGTAGATGAAGAAGGTGATGAAAATCAAGATGATAAAGACTATCACAGAAGTGACCCACAAATCGCTATATGTCTAGATTGTTTACGGAATAACGGGCAGTCAGGGGACAATGTAGTAAAGGTGAGTGCACAAGTACAGTTGTATTTTTACAATTATTTTATTGTAAACCTTTGATAATTTATTGATGAATTTTCCTGTTTCAATATGTTTGCTTTCAAAGTTTTTATAACAGTCCCATACCTACAAATGGCCAACCAATTGCTTATTCCACACACCTGATTTCCAGCCCCCACAACTGAACCGTCCTGGGCCAATGCCACCACCTAGTGGTTTATCAGAGAATCACACCACTGATTCTCTTGCCACCACTTCTTCTATACCTTTGTTGGGAGTTTATATACATTGGTTTTCCTCTTTTAAAAGTGGTAACCAACTCAGATCATTTCATGTTGGGCAATATCTCCAATCTTTGTTCATCCTCTTCTATATTAATAAAAAAAACACCATGTTTTTGAATAATATAATTAATTGGTTCTGAAATAAAATTGGTGTCATAAAATGCCTATGAACTTAAAGTCCTTGAAGGCTTCCAGATGTTTCCTATAGAATCTCCATTTCTAACCCTGTATGTGTACTAATTAAACCTTTTTGTAAAGATCTCTATACTAGAATAGAGTTTCTGACACACTGCTTGCTTTTTTGTTTGCTTTACCGGTTAAATAGATTTTTCTCACTTTGTCCTAGCAAATGTCAGCCCCTGAGAATATTATAATCCATGTTTTATTCAAATACTATATTCAGTGTCTCTTCTTTCACTTCCACTGTGTTATCTATAAGCCAGTGGGTTGAATTTTCACTAATATATTTAATGATATATTTCTTTTAAGAAATTAAAATTTTTTCATCTCCAATTAAGTGTCACAAGCATTTTGCAACAAAGAATAGAGCATAATGAATCAGTGAATACTAATCCACTATGTGGATATTAGACAATGAAGATATAAATAAAAAAATTTCAGTCAAGGAACTTTGGTGAGGTCTTACACAAATAAACAGTTATAATACAATACAATAATACAATACAATAATACAATACAATAATTGATTTATCAATTGGGTAAGGCATGTAATAAAGTGCAGAAATCTTTAGAGGTTTGGCCTTGACCTTCCGAGGCTTCTCTATGGCTTTTTATGCTCTGGTGGAGCACCTTTTCTTTTTTTAAGTCTTTCCATCAGGGTTTTTAATGACCTTACTTTTCTCTCTCATTGAATCATTCCTGTAATTCCCATGTATGGAGGTTCTTCTTAATAGAGAGATGAAAGATGATAAAAATCTCTAATACATGGGTTATTATCTTATATAAAATATCAATTTTCACTATATGAGTATCTTTATAATATAGTAGATTGAATATATTTTTAAGTAAACGTAAAAGCTACTTTTCTGCAGGATTTCTAGTATGAAAGTAAGTATCCCAGTTGGGAGTTTCCCTAACACCTGAAACTTCATGTATTTAAAGACAAATTCATTATACTTTTACTTAATTGTACTCCAAACCTGCAATTTCAGTTATTATTACCATCTCTCAACCAATCGTACAAGTTCACAACCTTGGGCCTTATACTCTTTCCCTTCAGCCTGTCATAAGTCCTGAATAATTCCCCATCCTAGCTGTTTATATGTAGATTTTTTGAAGTTGTCTCTCAGTTTTTTCTGTATCCTTAATTTCTCTCTTATCCAAGGTTGAGGCCACAGCCTGAATGTGTGTAAGGCAGAGGGTGAAAGTCAGAGTCAAGGCCAATATCAGGGTCAGACACTAAATATTTTAGGCTCTGTGGGCCATGTGGTCTCTGTTGCGGCTACTCAACTTACTCATAGTAGCCCTAAAGCAGCCATAGACAATAGTGAATGACCTGGCATGGTTGTATTCCAATAAAACTTTACTTAAGAAAAGAGGTGGCCAGCCAGATTTGGCTTGAGAGCTGTGGTCATAGTTTGCAATCTTTCAGCCAATAGAATCAAGTCTTAACTCCTTTCCAATAGCATTCATGGCCTTTAACTAATTCCTATCTTGATAAGTGTATCTCCCATGATACCCATCAGTGAAATTTCCTCTCAAGACAAGTGACTATTGCTTTCTTTATGATTACCAACATATATGCTGACACTCATACCTGACAAAGGACTTGCATCAAAATATATGAAGGCTTGTATTAAGACTTAAGCCCCCCTCTCCCCCCTCACTCCACAGACACCAGGAAGGATTGTGGGAGTTTGGCTCCAGGGCAGGTCTGGCCTATCTTGCCCAGTTCCAGCCTGCCAGCCACTTCTAATTAATTTCTTTTCAATGTGCACAAATCCATGCGCTGGGTCACTAGAATAATAATAAAGTGTTTCTAGAGAGAGAGAATACATAATTGTTGTATTTTTATTTTCTAAGTGCCTATAAATTAAGTATTAAATTCCAGGTTGGAATTTTATTAGATTGATGTCAAACTATCATCTGTAGAGTTGTTTCTGTTGGTCTTTGCTAGGAAATGTTTTCCTGGGAATACATTTGCTAAGAAATACATATTGACTGGATAGTTCTACTTTTGACTTAGTGGATTTAAAAACATTTTCAAGCCTGGCTAGGATGGCTCAGTGGTTGAGTATCAACCTATGAACCAGGAAGTGATTCCAGGTCAGAGCACATACCCAGTTGCAGGCTCCATCCCCTGTGGAGACATGTAGGAAGCAGCAGATGAATGCTTCTCTCCCATCTTTGATGTTTCTATCTCTCTCTCCGAAATCAATTTTTAAAAAAGAACATTTTTAAATTGTCTACCTAATTTTCTATACATATAAGTAGAAGTAATACTTTATATCTTTAAAAAGATCAAGTTAAGAGTCCATTCTACATGACTTGGTTGCTAGGACTTTTGTGGACTAACTGATCTCTATTCACCCCTATGGCTCAAAAGAGCCCCATTTGAAGTTAGTGCTCCTTTTTAAAATAGTGGTTTTGAGACTTTTTAAAATGTCCTAATGCTTTCAGAAGCAATATTATCTAATAAAATATGTATATGCTTTTTATGACCTTTTACTTTCAATTAATGATCTGATCTTTACCAAAATGTCTAGAGGTATGCAGATGTCTATATTTGCTAGGATTTTCTTAGTAAACACATTCTCAAAGAATATAATGTATCTAAGAATTAGGAACATTTTTAAAAAATTTTATGAGTTTATTTGAGCCAAACTGATGACATGTGGGAAGCAAGATGTCCTAAGAACATTTTTACTCACAAGTACTAAAGAGCTGTGAACTGAAACATTTTCAGAATACATTTTGAAAATACTCGAAGTGGAAATGACATCTGTGGTTTCTTTATAAACAAGGTAGAATATTATAATTAATAATCTTTATTTCCTTTAGGGTTTAATGAAGAAATTCATTCGATGTTCTACACGTGTAACTGTGGGAACTATTAAAAAATTTCTAAGTTTAAAACTAAAACTTCCAAGTTCATATGAGGTAAGTTAATAATTTAACCTTGATCAATTTGATAACTCTGATCTGAAGTAAAAATTAACTGAGAATATATTTAAATTAAAATTTGTGGACACTTTGGGTTATTTTCCCATTAAAATTTTTAATGCAATATTCCATTTATGTAATCTGTATTTTTAAAATTTAACATCCCGATTAAAACATATTAGTAATACATTTAGTGTTTTATAATTAGAGACGACATTTAAATAACATTAAGTAACCCTGACTGGTTTGGCTCAGTGGATAGAGCGTCAGCCTGCGGACTGAAGGGTCCCAGGTTCGATTCCAGTCAAGGGCATGTACCTTGGTTGAGGGCACATCTCCAGTGCAAGAAGCAGCTGATCGATGTTTCTAACTCTCTATCAAAAATCAAAATATATTTTTTAAAAATAATAATAATAACAACATTAAGTATTCTCAAAATAAATATCCAAGTTAAATGGATTCTTTGTTTTTATGCCAGTGTGCTCTAGTGTGTGTCTTTGTTTATTTTTAATGAGACATTTGGGATCCATTTTTACCAATTCTTCACAGACTTATTTTTTAGAATGGAAACATTGTCAAAAGGGATTTTGTAATAATGTCTAGAATGTGAAACATTGTCAAAAGGGATTTTGTAATAATGTCTAATTTCATGGTGCGTAAAAGTTAGTGTTTAGCACTAGGTGAAAGCTAGTATTTTAGTATTGTATCTGCATATATGCAGTTTAACAATTTTTTTGCAAGAGAGATAAAGTGCCCTCATATTGATCCCAGCACAGCTGGTAAAGTGTTCAATGTTTATAGCCACACTCCTAGAATCGCAAACATTCTTTAAAAACATAAGGAAACAAAGCTACCATTTTTCACCTGCCCAAATGGTAGTCTTCAACATATTAATGACCTCTTCCTCTCCTTTGGTTTATGATAGTAGCATCAAAAAGCTACAGACCCAGCCTGGTTTCCTATATGAACAAAGACATCAAAGGCAACAAACAGGTTTCCAAACTTATGGATAGTAACATTAACAGTCATCACAGCAGAAATAAGACTTGAACATAGGCATTGATAGGGATTAAATTTCCATCTTGAGGAAGCCTCTGATCCTGAACTTACTTTTATTTTATTTTATAGAAAGGAAGGGAGAGTGATTACATTTGAAAATTCTCTCAAATGACTGATTAATCTATGAGTTAAAAATGGTTATGGTTTGATTCTACAAATACTGTACTAAAAATTTTTCCAGTAACATCAAGTTTACATTAGGGGAAAAAATGTAAGGGTTAAAGTGCTATGTGCTTGGTAAAAAGATATAAAAATAAGAGATAACAATTTATAAATACAACAACAGCGAAAATAGAAAGTAAAACTTTTTTATGCTTTCGTTTTGCACTTTATTTCCCTCTTGCAAGATACCATGTGAAGTTTTATTTCCTTTTAAATGTGACTCATTTTCTAGTTTTTAGGAAGCTTTTAAGAGCTGAGAGAACTGTTATTCTCCTCTGGCCATGCTGCTGGCACCTACACTGCTCTGTAGGAGAGGATGAAGGGGAAGAGAATGCTGACAGCTCCTTGTCTATCCCAGTGCAAAGGACTTTTCCTAGGATTTTCAGAAATATTTACTGCCCCCCCCCTTACTTTCCTGCCCAACATGCAGGGGGATGACTTAATGTTATAGCTGAAGATTCTGTAACAGCATTATTAATTGGGGCAGAATAGCTTAGTTATTAATTTAATTAACAATATAAGCAGTATACCCGGTTAAGAATAGAATCCTAAGTAAGTCCCTTCTTGGCTTATGAATTTATTTTACAGGCTAGATAAAATGAAAGTATTATCTTGTTCTTTTAAACATACAATGATATCTGAAAAACATTTGGAGCTCCACATAAATCATCAAAAAAGCAATATATTTTAGCTAATAACTTACCTAATACAATTAGAACTATACTCATTTTAAAGTTCAAAAGTATTCGCTGTCTAGCCAAACCATTATTTAAAACCCATTTTTCTTCCCCCTTTCCATCCTTTAAATTCTGTCAGTTTGCTTTTAATAGCTAGAGAACCAAAATGTTTCACTTATAGAGACTTGTGATAAACATTTAATTGTGCTTTGTTGAATTAGCATAGTCACAGTTTTTACAGACTTCTTAAGTATTTGGGGTTGTTTGGTTCTTGCAATACTAGAGCTAAGGTGAGCATTGAAAAGTACAACCCTTTTTTGAAGTTTCATGCAAGGTGAGAAAAGAGTTCAATGTAAGGTATCAATGCAAGTGACCAACCAAGCAGAGCAGAGAAGCCACGAACCATAGGAATCAATGCAAGTGACCAACCAAGCAGAGCAAAGAAGCCACGAACCATAAGAAACATGGGCCAGTGGCATGATCCTAGCTGTGCTGTCAATTTAGCTACAGGTAATTACTGAAAATTCTCAGATGCCTCGAAGGGCCCATAAATCACACTTCCACATTCATTCATTTAACCTCTTTGAATACAAACTAATCAGAGGAAAGTAACTCTTTCAAATCTTGGGTTATGAAGATAAAGGGATTCTGAAAGATGAGTCTATAAGGCAAAACTGCTGTGAGGAACTAAGGTTTTCACTGTTTCTTGATTTCATAAGAGGCAATCAGATATATGTCTCAGCTCAAAGGTTGCACAGACATGGACTAAGAAACTACATTGCATTTCAAAATTATCTGTTGAACTTGAGATACAGGTTAGTAGGCAAGACAAACAGTGCTTCGTGGTACTTATGTCTGAATAAATACTATGAGATGGATCAGTGCTTTTAATAAAAATAATGTTCTTTTTAAATAAATGGATAATAGTTATAGATATTTTATAACTATTTCAACCCTTTTTGAAATTTGAAAAAACATGTAAAACACATATATTCAAAATTTACATATGTTAATGGATCTGTATTCTTTTTCAAGTTGGATGTGCTGTGCAATGGTGAAATTATGGGGAAGGATCACACTATGGAATTCATCTATATGACAAGATGGCGACTAAGAGGCGAAAACGTAAATTGCTTTTATATTTACCTATGTGTATATTTAGCTATACATCATTATATTACTCAGATTTAATAGTATTATTAATAGTCAGAAACTCAAAGAACAAACTAGCTTGGGAAAGAGAAAAAAACTGGTTCCTCTTACTGTTTCTTTCAACTACTCTATGATAATTAGTCCCAAGTATAAGACCAAGGTCTGTGTTAAATGCAGTTGTGTTATATCAAGGTGAGTTTAAAACCCCAACTAAATATGTTCAGAGCTCTGCTAACCTCAAGACAGAAAGTGGCCCTCACATTTTTTTACATAACTATATGAAGTGGGGGTAAGAAGACTAAGTTCTGCCCTAATACGTTTAATGGCTGATAATATATTATCTTTTTGGTTATGGTAGAGGAGGTAGCTAGAGTAGAATTAAGATAATTTTTTCAGGTACCTTTATTGAAGTATAAAATTAGACTGAAGAGTAAGTGGGTTTGCAGTGGTTTCTGATGCCAGGTTAGATTATTGTGCCTTGGGCCCTAGGCAATATAAGGAGAAAAACTAAGAAAATAATAAAATAAAAAACTTAAAAGGAGAACTTTGTATTTTGAACAGTATCTTTGATTAGGGTTAATTAGAAGGTTCGAGCATATCTTATCTGAGTTGTATGTAACAGTATTAGGGACATTTTAGAGACTAGGGATTATAAGGCTGATATATAACAATAAATATAGTAGTAATGCTAACAGAAATTCTCTCTGTAATCTGAGCACATGAATAAACATACGATCGACTATTAGACCTTAAGATTTTACAGTGTTTAGGGTACAAAATGTCTGTGTAATTTTAATCTTTCTATAAGCTAGGTTTTATCATATTTTTAAATATGTTTTTATTTACTTTAGAGAGGAAGGGAGAGGGAAGAGAGAGATAGAAACATCAATTATGAGAGAATCAGTGATCGATCGGCTGCCTCCTGCATGCCCCCTACTGGGGATTGAGCCCTGACCTAGAATCCAACTGTGATCTGCTGGTTCATGGGTTGATATTCAACCACTGAGCCATACCAGCCAGGCTATTATGAAAATATGAACTATAAAAACAATCACATAATTAAGAAATATAATCTCGCACTAAGGTAGATAATATAGAAACTAATATGAGGGTTGCCATTATGGTTCAAAACATACTTATATTGAATGTCAACTTCTGTGGAACTTCTGTGAAACAAACCTCAAAATATATTCTTTATGTGTCATTCAATAGGTAGGATATTTGGCTATTTTTAAGAAGAAATGTATCTTGATATGATACAGTAAATGAAGTACCTAGCTTTTTTATTTTTCTGTTTGAGTCTCACTAGGGTAAAGCCTTCCTTGTGAGGCTGAATTCTCATGACCAGGAAGGAAAATTACATTCTAGTACTAGAGTCAACAACTAGTTGTTACCCTTGAATTCATTAAACCTTTCTAGGGTTTTTTTTTTTTTAAGAAAATAAAAATTTGATTATATTTGGTAAATTACTAATTGCCCTTATATGACATTTCCTAGTTTTTAAATGGTTGTACATACATCACCCTTACTTAATGCTTCCAGTTCCAAGCACAGATTATAGAGACAGCCCATTCTCTTCCCCAGCTCTGTTGGGGCCTATGTACGGTGATATTGCATATAATATTAATGTCATATTGATATAATTTTAGCTTCCTTTAATAATTCTTTGGACATTTCGGTGTGTGCTTGAAGCCATCATGATGAGTAGGTTTCCCTTAAGGTTGAAAAGATGTAAGTAGTCATCCACCATAAGATCTCTGCTAGCACTCACCGTCCTTCCTGAGAACCCTCCCCAAAAGTCACCCACACTGCCAGTTACTTCAAGGTCAAAGCATGAAAGTTAATTCATAAAAATTGTTACTAATAGATTCGAAGTTCAATCTGTCCTTGCTACAGTTAGGTTTTTTACCACATTTCTGAATAGTTGAAGTTTTTAGTTACTTAAGGCATACTTTAATAAAAAGTGGTTCAAATAGTTCAGTATCATATGATTTTTCATTCATATAAAAACAAAACCAATAGAGGAATTACCACATTTTATAATTAATGCAACAGTAAAGTAATTATTAGCCTGTTTCATTTTTCAGTATGAGAAACCTGCTTTTGTTTGATCCCCTTCTCCAGCCTGTTTCTCCCTTAGTTTTCACAATTGCAGTAGTTCCCTTTTGGTCTCTCAGACCAAATTCCTGAAGTCAGTCCTGGTTAGTTTCTTTCTTTTCTATTCATCCTTAGCAAACTTTGTGACCTATGTAATATACAAGGTAGTCACGGTCCCATTATGTCTTATCACCTCCACTGAACCAACTCTGATCCAGGCCCCGGGCCCCATCCTCCGGAATTTCTACCAAAGACTCCTAGCCTTTCCCCCCACCCCCACCCCGCCCATCTTTGTCCGGTAGAGCAGCTGGAACAATCCTTTTAAAACAAGTTAGAACACGTCATTTCTCTGCTTTGAGCTCTCCAGTAACATCTAGTAGCATGTAAAGCCAAAATCAGGGACCTATAGATACAAACCCAAGTGATTTTCCTACCCATGTCTCTGGTCTTACCTTCTCCTTCCCTCTGGCTCCCCACACTCAGCCTCACTGGCCCGTCCTCTAACGTACCAGGCTTGCTCCGGCTCCCCCGTGTCCACCTAACTTGTTCTCTTCACCCCTTCGCTCAAAGAATTTTGCTTCTCTACCTTCTCAGTGAGGCCTCTGACTCCGACACTCTAAATCCTTTTTTATGCCTTACTGTTTTCCATAGGATCTCATTACTACCTGCAATCCTGTATCTCTTGTTTATGGTTTGTTAAAATATATCCGAGGGCAGGGCTTGTCAGGAGCAGTGCCTAATACAGATACTCAAAAAATATTTGTTTAAAGAGTAAACGGAATAAAAATTTTTCTTATATAAGGTTAGTACAATAGTTATGTAAAATATACCCTAAAGACCATTCTGTTTATTTGAATCTCAATTTCCCAATTGTTTTTTGTTAAATAAATTTTAAATATTTGTCTTGTTCCAATTAATTTTGAGTTATAGTAGTAATTGTTGAATTCTGACCTTTGAAATAAATGGACAAATTATAAATAAAACAATTTAAAAAAAATGTATTTTTATTGATTTCAGAGAGGAAGGGAGAGTGAGAGAGAAATAGAAACATCAATGATGAGAAAAAATCATTGATCGGTTGTCTCCTGCATGCCTCCTATGGTGACCAAACCCGCAACCTGGACATGTGCCCTTTACTGGAATTGAACCTGGGACCCTTCAGTCTATAGGCTGATGCTCTATCCACGGAGCCAAACCGGCTAAGGCAAAACAATCATTTCTTGATTAAACCCCTACTAGCAAACACATACCCTTTCCATCTCTACCTTCCATTGCCAGCAAGTTGCCAGGATGTCTGAAAAGCTTGCAGTATTTTACTTGCTGGCATTGCTCACTCACTGCCTTGGTTGTGACCCCAGCTTTTTTTCTAAACTAGTGTCTACTTTGTGGTTCCTTCACTTGCTTCTAGTACATTTTGTATTCCACCTGGGATTTGTTTAATTACACACACATACCTACAACAAGGCTAAGACTCTTATTGACCTCTAGGACCTCTTTTTGTATTCTGGATTCTAACCTTTTGTTATTTATGTGGAAGCTGTTTCCTTCCAGTTTTGTCCTGGTTTCTAGTTTTGCCTCTGTCTTTTAAGCCTTAAAATTTGGGTAATGCTACCTATCTCAAATATTTTAGAGAGAATGAGGTAATATAAAATACTCAGTAGTGTGTCTAGCATAGTGTTACTTTATTAATAGCTTATGTTAGCTTTTATTATTATTGTAATTCTCTCCTCCTACACTTGGTCTCATGTGGGAGCTCACTGTTAATATCTTTCTGTTCAAGCCTTCCTTTCACATGAACTCATATTCTTCCTGCTCACCTCTTCAGAGGGCCGAGTACCCACTCTTGGGACAGCCCGTCTTCCCAGATGGTCCTGGTTGGGTTTACCTTCCAGCAACCTCTGTTAGTCCATATCTAAAGTCACTACACCATGTTTACCTTGCTTTGCTTTATTTGAATTTTCAAGCAGTTTTAGAAAAAGCAAACATCTATTTGAACTAATACCAGAGAGATTAATGTAGGGAAAATAAGTGCTATTTGGGACTTGTATAGTTAGTCCAAATCTGATAAAGCTAAAAGATTTTTTTAAAACATTTTTTAATTCTCACCCGACAATATTTTTCCATTGATGTTTTTATAGAGAGTGGAAGGAAGGGGAGAGACACAGAGAGAGACATCGATGTGAGAGAAACACATTGATTGGTTGCCACCCACATGAACCCTGATCAGGGCCAGGGGTCAGATCAACCTGCAACTGAGGTACATGCCCTTGACTGGAATCGAACCCAGGACCCTTTAGTCCTCAGGCCAATGCTCTGTCCACTGAGCCAATCAAGCCAAGCCAAGCTTAAAGGTTCTTGAGAGAGGGAAAGGTTGCCAAGGACAGCAGTGGTGGGCATATCTTAGGACATGTTAATGAGCCCCACACAGAAATGCAAGGAGTAATGTTTAGGAGGAGAACTTGCTAAAGTCTTTGGGGAAATGGAAAATTTCTAAAATTTTATTTTAAAGGCTGTCAATATATTTGTTTTGATTATTGCTTAAGTGTCCTTTCAAAGTATATATTTTTAAAAGCTGCTTGGGGATGTTAGATTTCCCTGGTTAATTTACACCTTTCATTTTTCTTTTTTTTTCTTTTTGAATAGGCATGCAATGTTGAATTCACATATGCATACTGTTGAAAATTCATTATTAGGAGATGGTTTTTTTAAATATGAATGGTTAAACTGCTAACATTAGTGAGTTTGCAAATGAATTTACTTAATAGTTTTAAAATATGTTTATTGATTTACTCAAAAATATTTTTGAGTGGCTTCTGTGGGCCTTAGCTATTAACACTGAAAATACAAATTAGAGACTCAAGGAGCTCGCCGTCTGATGTTATTAAAATAAACATGGAGACTAAGAATCTAACCTGCTAACAATGGAAGGAACCAAATTTAAAACAGGAAATGGATCCCTTTCAAGTTGAGGCAAATTTCATGCCCCTGGCAGAGCTCCAATATCCTTAAAAGTGATGCTTTCAAAAGGTAGTTGAGGAGGAGACCTAGGAGATTAATCATAGGACAAGATGGTGGAAGAGGTGAGAGTTTTGCTAAACATTAGTATTTGAAGAGGAGATGGAAAGGATGGGTAAAATATTTGCAGAATATTAGCCAAACTCTTATTTAGGTACTAAAATTACTTAAAGCTAAATTTTACCAGTCACTATTATTAAAATCAATTAAAACAAAAAACAAAAAAAACTCTACCCTATTTTGGAACGTGTTTACTTAAAATTAATCGTGTTGACTCATGTTTGACGTTAAATTATATTTTTTGAATAATCAGTTTTAAATATGTATCCAGTTGTGGATGCCTCTTATCTGATGAGTTCATCTCCTCCGCAGTTTCGGTGTCTGAACTGCTCAGCTTCGCAAGTCTGCCCTCAGGATGGCCCTTTGTATCAGGTAAGAGGCACTCACGACTGTACATATGACCCTGACGATGCTGCCACCATGGGGACTGCTTTCATCCCAAACTCAAGTTCCTAAGACACATAACTTGGTGAAACTAATAACTTATTTGAGCTACAAAACTTCCTTTCAAATTATGTCCCCAAAGTTTTCCATTATTTTAGTTCTCTTGAAACATCTATCTAATTTTACTAAACTAAAAATAAAATTATTAATGTTAAGGCTATTGTTTTATGTGTTAGGATTTTTAATAATTACCAATTTTAGCCCTTTCTGAGAAATCTCTGCTCCACACATAATACTTCTTTGTGTATTACTTTTTTAAAATTAATCGTTCACCCACAATGAAAAGTGAAGCTAAATAATGGCAGCAGCTAAATATAATTGTGAGCTGGCTTACTAGGCTCTCCCTAAGTGCTTTACTTGAGTTATCTCTTTCAATATAGAAATGATAGTGAACTAATTTAATAATGCACTGAGAAAACTTGAACATAGGTCTGAGGAAAGTTTATCAATAAAAATACATTTTGTAAATTTGGAAAACAGAAGGGATTAAAGATGGTATAGTAAGAATTACTCTACAGAGATGATCTATGGATTATTATAGCATTTCTTTAAAATCCCCATTGTTTGGAATATTACTCAGCCATAAAAATAGAATAAAATCAACATTTGCAATACCTTGGATGGACCTAAAGGATATTAAGCTAAATGAAATAAGTCAGAGAAATACAAATATCATATGATTTCACTTATATGTGGAATCTAAAGAACAATGTAAATAAACAGAAATAGACACATAGATACAGAGAACAAACTGATGGCTGTCAGAGAGGAGAGAGGCAAAAGCATTAAGAAGTACAAAATGGGAGTCACAAAATAGTCATGGGGAACATAGGCAATAATCCTATATAATAAAAGCCTAATATTCAGATTGACCAAATTGTGGAACGACCAGTTGCTATGACATGCATTGACCACCAGGGACCAGATTCTCAATGCAGGAGCTGCCCCAGGCCCACAGGCCAGGACTCAAATCTTATTTTGAATACAAATATAAAAATGATAAGTAATATATTATACTAAATATTATACTACAAATATAAAAATGATAATATATTATACTAAATATTATACTAAAAGAATGAATCCAAGACTAAATAGAACTTTTATCAGTAATGTAAGAAATATAAAATCTGCCCTACTTGAAGGGTCCCAGGTTCAATTTTGGTCAAGGACATGTACCTTGGTTTGCAGGCACATCCTCAGCAGGGGTTGTGCAAGAGGCAGCTGATAATGTTTCACTCTCATCGATGTTTCTAACTCTCTTCCTCTCCCTTCCTCTCTGTAAAAAATCACTAAAATATATTTTTTTAAAAAGAAATAAAAATCATCAGTAGATGCTGAAAAGGCATTTGACTAAAAGTTCTACTTTTTCTTATCAGCTTTTGATTTTTAAGTTTCGAAACAAGTTGAGATAATAATACAAAGGAATATTCTTTACTTACATATAGATTTATCAAGCAACATTTTGCTACATTTTCTGCCCTCTCTCTCCTTATCAATCTTTATACATGTACTATTGTTTCTTTGTGAAACCATTTGAAAGTAAATTGCAAGTATCATGATAATAGGCTACTAAATACTTCAGCATATAATATCTAAAATCAAAGACCTTCTCATATAGAACCAAAATACCACTACACTCACAAAACGTTTATTTATAATAATAAAAGCATTAATATGCTAATTAGACCTGACAGCTGAACAACCTGTGGACATCCTTCCAGACAACCTTCTGGATGAAGCTGGGCTGGGAGGGCCAACCCCCTTGCACGAATTTCGTGCATCAGGCCTCTAGTATCCTAAATATTAGAGATGTCAGTTCTCCCCATAAACTATTATATTTAGAGAGGTTCTAAGCACATTTTACCAATTTTTTATTTAACTTGACAAAATCATTCTAAAGTTCATCAGAAAATATAAATCAGTGTTTCTGATCAGTCACATTTTTAAATGAGCAACCTGGGGACATGTGCAATGCCACATACTGACATGTATTTTAAAGCTGGAGTAACTAAAACAGAGGACTAACTTACAGACATATGAATAAGGACAGTAGCTCAGGAACAGACTGTAGTTTGTATGAATCTATAAAGAGAGTGTTTTAAATTATGAAGGAAAAAAAATTCATTTAGCAAATATTGTTAAGCCCATAATTGTGCATTCTTTTAGGTTAGGGGTGTCGAACTCAATCAGAGAAGGGGCCAAAATCTAAAATCCAGCCTAAATCGCGGGCCAAATGGTTTACTGAACAGTCAAACTGTCATTGTGATGGAAACGCAGTGGAGTGCAGTGATGACAGCGCGGTGCGGGCCACATTGCAAGGCCTGGCGGGACGGATTGGCCCGCGGGCCTTGTGTTTGACACATGTGTTTTAGGTCCTAGGGAAACAGAAGTAAAAATGAGGAAAAAAAATTATTTCATGGAGTTTACACTCTGGTAACATGAAAAATAAAATTTATAATGTTGGAATAAAAATTAAAGTTAATAAATAGAATTAGATAAGCTTGCCCAGGAAAGATGGTGATGATATTTGATCAAAAGAACTGAGAGAGATAGCTATGTATGTATCTGGGGTAGGGTACTCCAGGCTGAGGGAACCCAGAGCAGAGAGCGGGAGGAGGGCCTTATCTGGTTGGCTGAGGCTAACCCGTGAGCGTGGAACATAGATGTTGGGGGTGGGTGTGATCTAGCAGGAATGTGCAGGATCTAATCCATACTTCACATCTGAGTTTCTCACGGCTTAAAACTAAGTATTTAAAGAAGAAAATGTAGTTAAATAGTGAATCTCAGAGTGGGGATCACCTTTCTCCTTGTACATGCAAAAGAAAAAAATGCAAACTGAGTTGACTATTAATATTGTAAGGTACATGACAAATATACCACAATTGAGGAGATATCAGTAATATGATGCAAAGGTTTAATGTCCTTAACACAAAGAATCCATACGAATCTATAAGACAAAGTCCAACATTCCATAGGATAATGAGCAAAAGCTATGATTAGACAAATCACAAAAGAAAGAAACTGTCCAATAAAGAAACAAAAATGGTTTACTTCTTTAGAAGCCAAGAAAAGAAATATTTTATGCTTATTAAATTGCCAGATTAAGAGGAAGAAGGGGTAGTGCTCCTTACTGATGAGGCTATGGAATATTTCTTTTGGAAATATAAAAATAGAACAACTTTCTTGGAGCCAGTCTCTTGTGTGACAACATTTAGCAAAAAGCTCTAGAAGTGTGTGTGCTGTTTTAACCAGCAGTTCTCCTTCTAGGACCAACGGGGGGGGGGGCGGGGGGGCAGGCAGGAGGTGAGCTAGAAAGCAGGGACTAGACCATAGATCATTGGGTCAGCATTAATTTTTAATAGAAAAAAAATGAATAAAGTAAAATGTACAGCAAAAAGATTTATTGATAACTTATGGGTTCATTTCTATAAAGGCATTTACAGCCTTTAAAAATGATCAATTTAGTCAAAACCGGTTTGGCTCAGTGGATAGAGCATCGGCCTGTGGACTGAAAGATCCCAGGTTTGATTCTGGTCAAGGGCATGTACCTTGGTTGCGGGCACATCCCCGGTAGGGGGTGTGCAGGAGGCAGCTGATTGATGTTTCTCTCTCATCGATGTTTCCATCTCTCTATCCCTCTCCCTTTCTCTCTGTAAAAAATCAATAAAATATATTTTAAAAAATGATCAAGTTGAGTAGAAACAAATTATGGAATTTTTTAATGGACAAAATTATTTACTGAACAATATGTGTAGTATGATTTCAGTTTTAAAAAACAAAGTACAAAAGCAAAAAGACTAGAAGGATATACACCGATATCCTATGGTATTATCTTTGGATGGTAGCATTTAAATCAATTTTTTTTTCATGGTGCTTTTCTGTATTTTCCAAATCTACAGTAAAGCAAATTTATTTTTATGATAAAAACTTATTTAAAAGAGTATTTCGAAGTTAATTTTAGGAGTTTCTAACATCACATTTGAAATATATTTGGAAGTATCTGTTCTTTTAGTACCTGATATGACTAGGGACTAGCCAACTTGTGAAATTTGGGTTGATTCAGTGCAATCACTTAACAACATCGGGAGAAGTGAGTGATGTGCCATAATTCATTAGAATAAGAAAGCAACTGAAACACAAATAATACTTAAAGTTCATCTTGATTTCCAGTATTGTAACACTTTTCAATAAATTAACCTTCATATGTTTTCATAGATCAGACAACCACAAATGTTTACTTTGAGGCAAAACCATTTTTGGCCAAAAACTGAGAAAGTCCCAACCACTTACAACCAAGCCGTTTTACTTCCCTGTCTACCTTCATGCTACTAAAATCAGTGATGGTTCTCCTGTGTGTTATGAGTGGATTCTAGAACAAATGACTTAATTATTTGCCGAGTGTGTGTGCAGATTCGGCATCAGGAGTGGAAGCAGAGGTGGGAGGCATATTGGGGTGAAGGGCAGGCCGTAGGCTGGGGGTTGGTAGAATGGGAAGCAGTAAAGTCAGAGTTGGACGTCTATGAGCAAGCAATAGCGTATACAGGTCTCCAAATCTGGCTGAGCTTCAAAAACACAGGGAGTTCTGTAAAACAGATTCTGTCTCCACTCCCAGATGCTCTGGTTCATAGGGAACAAAATAAATTTTAAAACAAAAACAAGCAAACAAAATTTAGACCAAAAATAATTTTGACCATGGAAACCCCGAGAGACTGACTTTTACTCCAGCCCCTAGAAAGCTGGTAGTGGTGCCACCTTATTCAGCTGGGAGGAGCGATCCTAGGAATTTCCGTTCACACACTGAATGGCAGCAGAAAATCCACCACTGGGTTTTCTCACTATGTAGCACAGCTATGCTGAATATTGAGACCTCTGTCAGGTCATTGTCAGGATTACAGACCGTTAGTCTGTCCCTTTGATTTGCACAAAGAAGACAGTTCTCTGCACTGGATTTGTGCATTCACCACACTGAGATGAAGGGGAAACAGTCAAGGGCCATTTCAGCCCTTTCATAAAAGTAGCTCCTCAAAATTTCATTTTAAAGGGGAGAATCTGCAGCTTTAAGAAAAGGAAAACCATGGGTTCTACAGACCCTCTCTGACTTGGGTTCTATACATGTGGTAAAACAGAGAGTAAATGCAGATGGAAAAGGAGCACTGTGCCACATACCATTTGTCTACCGGAAGCTGTTTCCTCTCTAGCACCATGTGCTGGCGTATGGCACTTTTTCTACAAAGTGACATGAAGGAAAGCCGGAACCATCCAATTACATTAAGAATCAAACTGAAATATTTAATAGGATCAACTGATTGTTGAAAGGAGGCAGTAACCTAAATGTTTCATGTAATAAATCAGCTACTTGGTATGGTTGTTTTTTTTTTTTTAAGCTGAAAAGAAAATGTGGAACTGACTTAAAAAATGTCTTTTATGAAAACTCTCCCACTTTCATAGATTCGTAACAGGGGGTGTGTGTTAATTTGTGACTCAGTAGGGTCTCACAGTCCAGCTCTGTTGGAACCCAGCCTGCGGCTTTGCCTTGGTCAGTCCCACAGGTGCACACCTCTAAGAGGCATCACAGCTCTCAGTGCCCACAGCCCTGCCTCCCCTGAGTGTCACATCAGGACTAGTCATGGGCAACCGGTGCAAGGTCTACAGGACTTTAAACTCGACCTTTGTCATATATTTTGGGAAACTTTACTGATTCCAGAAAAATTATGGCAATTAAAAAATACTGAGTTTTTATAGATACAAACAACAGAATGGTGGTTACCAAAGGGTAAGTAAGGTAGGGGAAGGCAAATTGTATAAAGGGCGTCAAAATATATGGTATGAAAGGAAACTAGATTTTGGGTGGTGAGCAAGCAATAGAGTATACAGATAGCAAATTACCATTGTACACCTGAAATTTATATATTAACCATTGTTGTTACCTCAATAAGTTAAAAATATATAGAACAACATAAACTGATGAAATAAATAGATCTAGAAGATAGAGAAGCATCAAACTGACTGTCAAACCTCAGAGGGAAGGCGGGAGGGAGTGGGTAAGGGGGACTTGTATTCATACATATAAGCATTACCAATGGACACAAGACACTTGGGGGGGGGGGGTCTGAGGGCATGTGTTAGGGGATGGGAGTGGCTGGGAAGAAGTCAATGGGGGGGGAGATATATGTAATACTTTAATGAATAAAGAAAATTTTAAAAATATGTAGTTTTAATGTCACCTTGTTATAATCACTAGTATCAGCAAATATTGGAAATTATAACTCCTTAAAATCTTTTGTATACGATCTATATTGTTTTCATATAAAAATCTTCCTCATCATTTGTTTTTATTTGTAGTCATATCCCATGGTATTGCAGTATCGACCAAGAATTGACTTCGGTTAGACCAAGGGGCCTGGACCCCACTGAGATGAATCCTGCACTATTTGTTTACTCATGGACAGATGGCACAGCAAGAGGTGTGTGGACTAAAGGGACACAACCAGATTTTCAGCATGCAAATAAGGCCATTGTCTGTCTCTAAATTGTCAGTTGCATTTATGTTGTTTCTGTTAAGAGCAAACCAAGTGCCATTCTGCTACTGAACCACCTGTGTAAGTTATGTGTGCTGTCTCACAGTGTACAAGTCACACTGAGGTCAGCTGGGTGTGCATCCCTGTTGCAGCCTTTAGAATACTTTGCTTGTTGTCCCAAGACTGTTCTAATGTTCAGTTACACTAGTAATATGGCTCAATCTTTGTGGTGTTACAGTTTTCACATACTTTCTCTTTTATTCTTGTTCAAATAGAGTATTGTATAAGAAACTGGTTATTATATTTGGAAATTATTTTATATGGCAAATATGTTTAGAAAAATGGTTTTTGAACCACTGTCCTATTCTCAGTAAGCTTTTTCTGTGTAACATAGTTCATCTTTTGGGAAGAATTCCAATTATTCTTTAACATTAGAGCACATTGTAATTGTAGGCATTTTAAGTCATCTGTCAGTGTAGTCTACCAACTGCACAAGGAGGGCCTGTTAGCCCTCCACGTTGAAAATGTGTGCGATTCTGGGAGAACTGAAGCTGGATTCACAACCATTCAAAATGTTGGCAGCTGATCACATTTACTTCTAACAAAATGACTGTAAGTAAGGTTCCTCTTCTCTCATAATGCCTTATGACAAGCGGGTACTGCTGTGAACCGTCTTTGTGTAGCCCATTTTATGGATGCATCACTATCTTGTTGTCTCATTTAATGAGAACATTGTTTCTCTTTTTAAGTTGGCCTTAGGTATGTGTTGCTGTTGCATGAAGAGGATTATGATGATTTTAAATATTAGGATCTTTAGAGCATTAGCTACTTTATGGATTTCAAGTCAAAACAGTTGTAGATTAATACTGTTACCTATCACATTTCCAAACCATTTGCATAAAATAGAATAAATGCAGTGTAGTAGATAAATATGCTAACCACCATTAGTGGGCTGAGGATATTTCACTTTAGAGCCTGTGGCAATCAGAGGGGTGGGAATACTGTTCATACATAAGTTTATTACAGTGAGAGCTATGGGAATGGCCTTGATTTCGTAGTTTTGTTAAGTCTTCCATTCATTTTGAGATTAGTCTGCAAGTCAAAGAAAATCTTGTTACCTTAAATTATGTGAAGAACTTCATTTAAATGTTTTAAAATGTGTATTTGTTTTCCAAAAACTTCGTTGGCGATTGTTTTATTAATTGATTCAGAACAAGTTAACCTCTGAAACTTAGGAAAAACCTTGAAAGTTAGGAAAATATTTATTTTAGAAACCTGACATGAGCACAATCTGTGTGTTACACACACGGTTTTTATACTGTATACATGGTAGATATGCTACATTTTCCAGTAAATTGTGTCACAAATCAATGCCTTCTAAATCTCAAAATGCTTCTTAGAAATAAAACATTGTAGAATTCAAACACATACAACATACAACTAAGCCTTGATGCATTTCACAATATAAAAGGCTGAAATATCATAATTATTTTTCCATATGTCTTTGTTTCAAGTCTAATAGCCTATATTAAAGCTTTCTGTTTTTGTTCTGACTTGTGGAAAAGGTTAGGGCAGTACTTTAATTTGTTAAATTGTGTTTGTGCTTGGAAGGGCTCACAAGCAGAATTTAAAAGGCAGAGTTTTTTGTTAAAAATCTATTAAAATGGTTGGAATAGACGGTTACCATTATACTCAACCAAAACTGATTTTATTCTTTAGCTACAGAAATTGTTTTATGCCCTAAAAGCTAACTTCCTGACATCCCTAAAAAGTTTTAAAATTTTTTATAAATTTGTTACATCTAGGTCAGTAATTAAAATAATGTTTTACAAATGGGAATTTATTTTAATTGACTTAATGCAAAATGCATTGAGAGTCCATTTTAAAAACCACAAATGAGACCTGGTCATTTTGGGGGCATCAGCCAAAACCTACAACCTTAAGTGAGTTTTATGGATATTCTCTTTACATTTGTCCTGCTGCTTCATCGTAAGTAATTTCATCATTTTCCAAGGAAATACATAGGAAGCAATTATGAAATTTAGAGTAGTTTTTGTGAATTTTTACTGAAATGCAATGGAATATGTGCCAAAACGTGTGAAAAATTTACATAAAGAAGGATACCAGTTGTCATCGGGGCAAAGTACACACTTTGTGATGGTCCTGAGTAATGCTGTATTACTCAGAACCACGAACCACAGACTTCTTCAGCCAACCTCTTTTGATACATTCAACTATGATTTTCTAAGTATGGGACTACTTTCATATCTAACAATACACTAAATCCCAGTTATTTATTCCCTAAGTTAGGTTGTGAAATTTGCAAGAAACCAGAAATAGAAAAAATATGCAGACAAACTTTGTGGTTAGTTTTATAAACTTAGGGTAGTAGTAAAACAAACTTTTTATAAATAACCCATAGGAATAATCATCTGAATCTGCAAAGTTGGGAGAATAAATAAAACTAAGTTTTTATTTAGTCTATTGTTTCTTAAACAACAACCTGAAAGAACTTTGCTTTCATAAAAGATTTTGTCATCTGTTTTCTCTGCTTTAGATATCATATTAGTAAAGGGGTCAAGCAATGTGGGATTTCAAGGTCCGTATCACATCACTCTGAGGTAATCACATCCATTACTAGAAAAATCAGAATATGGCCTCTTCTCTAGATTGACAAAATACTTTCAGGAAGTACAAAAAGAAATTAAAAGGCTCATTAGCTCATTCATTCTGGGGTACTGCTACCTTGGGTGATGTCTTTTAACTACTTTTAGAAAGATGTGTTATTTCTTTATTCATTGAAAACATGTCCCATACTAATTTGCCACATTTTATAAATGTAATGAGTTTGCTCAACTATGTAATATACTCAAATGTAATCTAAATTTAAATGGTTAAGAGGAAAAAAGGTATGTTATATAATACTATGAACTGTTTAGCTTTATTGAACTATTTAAGAGAAAGTGCCTCATTGCTACTGTGCATTTGTTTGATTTACTGCATATAGTTTGAGTTATCTGTACCTGTCTCTTATTAATTATTTCATATCTAAATAGACGCTTGTAAGTTAGAGTGATCACTTTTATAAAGATTTTCATAAGAAAATACCTATCACCAAAGACATTTTACTGCTAATGAACAACCATGTTGGAGAGATAGTTGTAACGGTTTGGAGTTTGGAAATTAATTTTATGAGGCAATAAGATTGATTAATTGCTAAAATATCACCAAAGAAAGGCTTTAACTCTAAATTTCATGATGAGATCAATCAAATGCAGAGCACACTTCCTTTCAAATATGCTTGTTTTTCTGCACCATTTGACAGGTCGTAGGAAATCCTCAAATGCAAGAAAGAGACAAACACAACAAATAGCCTTCCTTTGGATGAAAAGTGGGAGAGAGACATACTTTAAAATTCTTCTAATTTGAGAAGCTTTTTCTTTCATGAAGGAAATAGAAACAAAAATAACATTTATTTGGTTCCTGAGTTCTTAATAATAGGATAAATTTTATTAAAGACAGACTTTGGTAAAGTGTTGACATGCCTACTTGTATAAAAAATAGCACATTCTATTGAACTCGCATACATAAATGCTTTTTCCATTTTCTAAAACAAAATTTTCATAAAGGCCTGTTTCACCTCCCTGTCCTGTTTCTCAGCGATTGCTCTATTTTTATTAGAATTCAGACTCACAGCCAAATTAGCAAAATGGGTCTCAGATCTAGATCATACATACTGTTCTTACATCATTCTCCTTGGGAGTTCAGGCTGTGGGCTACCTCAAAGGTAAAGCTCGCATCCTGAAGTCTCTGACAGGCCATATGTGAGCCTCTGTTAAATACTGTGACTTATCATAAGGAATTTCCCACAGGCTAAGCTTGATACTCAAGATGTTGGTTGTAGGAGAATGGCAAAAATGAATGTGTTTGCCATAACTTTAAATACCTGGATTAGAACCACAAATACGTAAAACGCTATTATAGATGACACTCACACTGACACTGACACACACACACACACACACACACACACACACAAAATAAGGAACATAGCATGTCTGCCAGATCTGGCATATGACAGGTTGAAAAATATTAAATATACTAAAGACTCTAAGACCCTTGGAAAGCACAAAATAACCAACCATTGCTCGATTGACTCGAGAGACCTAGTTCAATAGTGTTTTGATGGAAAAACATGATATTGAAAGCTCGTTAAAATGTATTTAAATACGCATTACTGGGTTTTCACCATTTTTCCCCCTACAGCAATGGCATTTCCCTGATAATTTAAAAGTGATTCTCTTCCCAGTATAATGTAGTTGTCACATAGTGTGTTTACTTCTTAGGCTTTTACTATGCTTTCAAACACTTAAAATGCTTGAGCACTTCCTTTTCAGAAAGTTATGAAATTAAACTTAAAAATCATTTAATTTTAAATGCTCATTAAAATGTGTCTGTGTACTTGTTATGCCCCTTTTCCTAGGAGCCAGCACTGAGACATTGTTTAGCAATGCTTTTTAATGTTCATTGTCTGTAAACCTAGAATCAAGTGCAACTGATATCTGTCAAATGTTGGGTCTAGTTTTCTTCTATCTTCCAGAGCTTCGTGGCATAAGAAACTAATCTAGTACAAATGAGGATGAAATGTTTTCTGGGCAACAGTAGGGTTAGTAAGCAGGTTATTTATCCACAGACACACGTCAGTCCACTGGAGCAGGGGCTCAACACATTGGAAATGGAATGGGATCACCTCATCTGCTCGGGGCCAGTTTTCTTTGCTGTGTTTTGCAGAGTGGGGCGGGGGCCCAAGTGTCCTTATGAAGCTGTGGTCCACGACACGTGCCCGTGAGGGAGCTGGGTCCCGCTGCGCCCTCACGTCGGGCAGCACCAGCGAGCACCAGTGTTGTAGGGTAGCCCTCACGTTAAACCATCGTAGAGTACAGTGTACAGTTGTGTTGCTGATTTTCCTTTGAAATATAAGATATTTTAAGCTTTTTTTTCTTTTTGTCAAAAGTGGTTAACATCTTAATACAGATAAAAAAACCTTTTTGTGGTTGTAAGATTTAGCTTATGAATCATTCAAATTGAAGTGAAAGATTACCAGGTCATTGTTAATGACTTAGTCTATTAAGAATATATGTATTTTTGTAAAGGAAAAGCACTTGTAGATATTTAATCAGTACAAGATATATGTCTGTTTTGCAGAAATAAAATGCTGCTTAGAGATTATCTTTAAATATTTTTTATTTTTGTGCTCAAATGTATTTTCTGTTGATCTATGGAATGTTCTGTACAAAGCTGTATGGTCGTACTGTTGGGCTAGATACTTCTGTTTTTTAAAATATGGACTTAGCCAAGTATACTTGACCATGTTAAAAATAGTATCTTTGTTATTAAAATTTTGATTGCCTAACTTATTGTCTGTCATCCTTAATAGTAATTGTAAGTCATTATCTCTATTTAAAAGTATCAGGTATGACGATAGCAAATTTTGTAGAAACTTTTTAGAGTATATGAGATCATAAACATTTTCTAGAGTTTGAGCTATCTAGGATGGCAGAAGTCCCTCAAGTAGTACTGGGAGTGTGCTCACTGTACCTGGTACAGTGAGCACATCTAAGGAGCCTTTTGGGTGGAACTGGTATCACAGAAAGGCCCAGCCGATTGGAAGGCTCTCTCCACAGCAGCTAGGGAACACCCCCTCCTGCACACTGGCCTCGGGAATCCCGCGTAGGCTTCAGGAGGGCCTTCCCCCCAGGAGGGCTCCAGGGTCATAGCCCTGCCCCTGTCACTGTGTCGTTAGTGATGCCAGGAGGTGGCAATGCAGAGAGGTGGAGAGGCACATCCTCTCAGCAAGATGACTCTCCATGTCAGTGACCTTTACCCTCTTCAAGGGCAAATGGGAAAGAGCGTGGAGTGCGGTGCCTGGGAAGTGCTCAAAAACATGACATCTCTTTCATAACACAGAATTGGCCAAAACTCGCTCCATGACATATTCTTCTCTTTTACAGTCTTTTAAGAAACTTTTTGAAATGTTCAACAACCAATTAAATAAACATGAATTAGGGGAGAGGACTATGCCCTATAATTTGGGGTAGTGGGAGTATTCCTGGCCTGGGAGACTACAGAAGGCACTGCTCCTTGGCTAAAGTCACAAACCCCAGTTCACCCAAGAGCGAATGTCTGGCACACAGGCCGCCACACCTCCCTCACCTCTGGATAGGAGAGTTTGGGGAGATCCTGGCTCCCTGGGGATCTTGGCAAGTCAGTCTTCATGCTGGGTTCAGGTGGGTACCAGAGGGTCCAGGTAACCTGGGCACCTGTGCCAAGGCCAGGCTTCTGCCCATCCTTCACCCTCCCACCAGGTCCATGAAACAACCTCAGCTCACAGGCAGCAGGCTGCCCAGGGAAAGTCCGATCCTCTGGGGTTAGGCTGCAAGGCCCCAGGTGAGAACAGAGGATGGCCATGTGACTTCACATATCTAACCTATTCAGGGACATGCCATGTGGCCTCTATTTGTATCCTTGCTCCAAGCCCTGCAGCGTTAGAGGTGTGTCTGCCTGGTGGCCCTGTGCTCAGGCTTCATCAGCCATGCACTGTCACTCCTGTAGCCTTTGATGAGCCTTTTTTTGTTAAAGCTCCTATTATGTGCTAGGCATTGTGCTGATAGATAGTCCTGCAAGGGTCTCATTGCCCAGCAAAGCTGATGGACACATGGACAAGTAAATGATAATGCTGTACGCTCAGAGCAGTGAGAGATACATACATATAGGCTTTTTGGGAGAACAGAGAAAAGTGTCTAAAGCAGGAAAATGTCAGGTTATTTTACATTTAAGCTCCTCCCTAAGCTACAAATCGAGGACAAATAGACTGGCAATCTGGAATTCCAAGTGCTTCCTGGAAAAACTAGAAGAATCCAACCAAAAAAAGAAAAAGAAAAAAAGGCCAATGAAAAATAAGAGCAGAAGAAACTACTATAATTCTTGTGTTTATTTTGTCAGGCATTGTGCTAAGTCCCTTACATGTATTATCTCAGTCAATCCTCAGAAACTAGGTTTCATTATGGTCCTCATTTTGCAGATAAGGAAACTGGCTCAGAGTGGTTAAGTAATTTTCCTAAAGCCACAGAGCTAGTGATTGTCAGAGCTGGGATAGACCCAGGTCTCTCGCATTCCAGAGCCTATGTCTTTAGCTACCAGGGCTTTTAGTAAGCAATAGTTGTGCACCTGCCATATGCCCAGCACTCTTCTGGGTCCTGCATGCAAAAGGACCTTCCTGGCAATCATTCTGAAAAGGAGAGCCCCACACATAGCACAGACTCCTCAGCTGCTAAGACCAATCAAGCAAATTCAACAGGAGTAAAAGTTATTTGTGACAAATTAAATGAAGAGCCCTTCTCAGAAAGATAAAATGTCAAGGCTCCAGGAGGAGGGCTGTAGATGAACAGGAGAAACTTTTAGGTCCATTCTGTTCTGCCATGTTTGGATTTATGTCAAGAATCAGAAAATACTAACACCAAGGGACAAAAAAAGTGAAATCAGAAAGAATAAAACTTGTCATTTTCTCTAACTGCTGTGGCTAGCATGGCCCCATAAGGCACTTAGGGACTTTCTCAGGAAGTCATATCCCTGCCCCGTCAGGGCCAGCCAGCACTTGGGTCTTCTCTCCATTGGTTCCCCCATAAGAATCAGCTCCAGGTCTTACTGCAGCTTAAGTCTGAACTCTCCTGGCCAACTGGGAAGTTTATAGGGAACGTTTGCACTTGATCATAGAACAAAATTTAAGCCACAGGGAAGAAACTGGAGGGGGATAAATTATAGACTATGAGAAAATTGGGGAGATAGGAGTGGAGAGAGATGCTTACAAAATTTCAAGCAATGTGTTGTTTTGGTAAGGTAAAAGCTTATATGCAAGACAAATCAAATATGCATGGGTAAGAGCACAGACTTTATGATCAGAAAGACCTGGGTGGAAATGTTTCTCTCATTTGCTTTGGGCAAGTTACCAACCTAAGACTCAGTTTTCTTATCATTTGAGTATAATAAAAAGACAAGGTCCTGAGGACTGTGTGAAAGTACTCAGTAAAAGGTAGTCATTAACCCAAAGTAACCTACAGATTCAATGCAACCCAGTTTACAATTCCAATTGCCTTTTTTTTTTTTTCAGACAAACGATTCTAAAATTTGTATGGAATGAAAAAAGATTGCAAATAGATAAAGCAATCGTAAGAGAGAAAAAAAAGAACAAAGCTGGCAGCATCGCACTTCCTAATTTCAAACTTTATTACAAAACAATAATCAAAACAGTATTGTTTGGATATATTAAAAAAACAAACAAAAAAAAAAAACAGACACATAGGTCAATGGAACAGAATAGAGAGTCCAGAAATAAGCCCATGCATATATGGGCAATTGATTATAAAGAACACCCAATAAATATATAATAGGGATTATATATTTAAGAATATAAAATGGGGAAGTCTCTTCAATAAATAGACAGCCACATGCAACAGAATGACACCAAACTACTATCTGACACCATACACAAAAATTAACTCAAAAATGGATTAAAGACTTGAATATAAGACCTGAAAGCATTAAACGCCTAGAAGAAAACAAAGGCAGTAAGCTAATTGACATCAATCTTAGTGATCTTTTTTTTTTAATTTGAAACCAAAAACAAGTGGAACTACATCAAATTTAAAGTTTCTGCACAGCAAAGGAAACCAACAAAAATAAAAAGCCAACCTATTGCCAAAACTGGTTTGGCTCAGTGGATAGAGCGTCAGCCTGAAGACTGAAAGGTTCCAGGTTCAATTCCGGTCAAGGGCATGTACCTTGGTTATGGGCATATCCCCAGTAGGGGGTGTGCAAGAGGCAGCTAATCAATGATTCTCATCGATGTTTCTAACTCTCTATCCCTCTCTCGTCCTCTCTGTAAAAAATCAATAAAATATATATATATATATATTTAAAAGCCAACCTATTGAATGGGAGAAAATACTCATTAAGTCATATGTCTGATAAGGTGTCAAAGAACTCATACAACTCAATGAAAAAACAATCCATTTTTAAAATGGGCAGAGACTTTGAATAAACCTTTTCTAAAGAAGATATATAGATGGCCACTAGGTATATAAAAAAGTGTTCAATATCATTAATCATCAGGAAAATGCAAATCAAAACCAGAAGGCAATATCTCACACCTATTAGAATGGCTATTAGCAAAAGGATCAGAAATAAGTGGTGGCAAGGATGAGAGCAAAGGGATGCTTGTGCACTGTTTGTGGGAGTGTAATTCATGTAGCTACTATGAAAGAAATATGGAGAATCCTAAAAAAAATTAAAAATACAACTACAATGGAATCTAGCAATTCCACTTCTGGGTAATTATTCAAAGAAAATGAAAACACTAACAAAAAATATGCACCCCCATGTTTACTGCAACATTACTTACAATAGCCAATATATGGAAGCAACCTAAGTGTCCATCAGTGTAAAGAAAATGTTACACACGCACACTGGAATATTAGCCATAAAAAGGAAACCTTGCCATTTCATGACAACATGGTGGACTTTAAGGACATTATGGTAAATTAAGTCGGACAGAGAAAAACAATCATCTCATTTATACACGGAATTGAGAGAGGGAATGAGAGATAATGAGAACAAGGCCTGACTGACCCTGGAAGGTTGGGAGAAGGCTGAAGTGGTTGCCAAGACAGCAAACAGTTTCCCTCGCTGGCCTCCAGGGGGCGCCATCAGCCTTTTAGACCAAGTCAGGAGGCAGCAGGTGGACCTTGAGAGGCAAGACTGCGAAAATGAAGATGCGGACCAACACCTTCAGGGGAGGGTGAGCAAGAATGAAAGAATGAGGTGTTTACAGTCAGAGGAGGGCCTGAATTTCCTTCTCATTAAGTCTGGCTGAGATAAGCACCTCGGCTGGCCTCCTACAGCCGAGGCTCGTTCATGCCTGCTTTTAACTTTCATGCCTGCTTTTAACTTCGCTGGCCTCTTTACTTAGGAATGAATGAGAAACGGCATCCCGGGAGAAAGAACTCGGAAAGGCTGTTAACAGCCCGTAATAGCGAGGCCGAGGCCGGCTCCCCCAGGGCGTCCCTGTCCCCTGGATGCTTCCACAAGGCCCCTTGGGTCACCGCTCACATGAATAGGAAGCTGATTGCCACTCCACACTGACTGATGTGTGTTTGTTCCATTGGAAATGTTCTGAGGAAAGAACTGTTACTGAAAAGGAGAGATTTGTATGAGCACAGCAAACATTCAGGCCAGACTCCAACATCACCAGGGAGGCAGCCTTTTCTTCTATCAGAGCGTGCCAAGGGATGCAGAGCGGTTTCCAGCATCCTCTGATAATCCAGGAACACCTGTGAGGAAGGGCCAACCCAGTCTTCTCTTCTCAAACCAATCAGTGGGGATTGTTAAAGACAACACAGCTGCCCCAAGAGGAGTTGGGTAGG